GAAGGTTTAAGTTGGACATCAGGAGGCGCTACTTCACGGTCAGGGCGGCTAGGGTCTGGAACCAGCTTCCATGTGAGGTGGTGCAGGCTCCCACCCTGGGGGTTTTTAAGAGGAGGTTGGATGACCACCTTATTGGGGTCATTTGACCCCAGTGCTCTTCCTGCCATGGCAGGGGGTCGGACTAGATGATCTGCTCAGGTCCCTTCTGACCCTAGAAACTATGAAACACTTCAAATCTGGACAGCTGCATAAGCAAATAACCTAATTGAGTTAACCACTCTGCTTACAACATGTCTGATTAATGTTCCAGGTGACGGTGGTAATGGTTTGGTTTTGTGGGCCCAAAGTGGATATACACAGAGTTGGTGATATTAGCTGGGAAGAAGCAATCCAGTGGTTTATCCTGTTGGTCTTGTTCAGAAGGTTCCTGGACAGCAACTTCTGGGCCACTATCACTTCTTGGTGCATGAAGTCTTTATTCAGGTGATATTTGCTACAGGGGTTTGGGTACTGTTGCCAAAAGGTCGGCTTCTTCAGCAGTCCTTCCCAGTCAAGAATGATGGTCTTCCATGAATGTCTTATCTCTGGGTCCGAAGATGGCTGATAAGGCCAATCTGGGATTGACAGACTCTGTTGCAACTCGCGCATGTGTTTCCATGTGGGGTGGGTGGCTCCAGATTCTCGATTCAGTTCATGATATGCTGTTTTTGTCACTTCTGCTTTTCCATCTACTGTTGTCATCATCAGGTTTCAAATTACTGAGATCCTTTCAGCAGCCACTTCCTCCATGTGGGGTGGTCCTGGGTGATAGTTTCCTGTGCATTGATGGAAGCACATTGATTACTTGAAAGTCTGCTTCCCAGTGAGCACAACCTACAGTATCATCAGTGTATTGGAGCTTGATGATTGAGGTTGGTGTGCTCTTGGTTTTGGCTCTGATTTGGCTAAGATTAAACAGTTTACTATCCATTTGGTAATTCAGCTCCACTCCAACTGGAAGCTTATTGGTGGTCAGATATAGCACTGTGGTAAGGAATATCAAGAAGAATGTGGGAGTGATAATGCAGCCTTGTTTAACTCCCATCTTAACTTCAAAGGATACGCAATATTTTTGTTACTGAGAACCACCACTTGCATGCCATCATGGAGCAGGCAAAGAATGGTGACAGATTTCACTGGGCAGCCATACTTCAGAAGGGTCCTCCATGGCGCTTCTCTGTTGATGGAGTTGAAGATTTTTTGTGTGGTCAGAGAAGGCTACATAGCAGGGTTTATGTTGTTCCTGGCATTTTTCCTGTAGCTGGTGAGCTGTGAAGATTATGTCAGTTATGCCTCTTGGTGCCCTAAACCCATGCTGAAATTCTGGGAGGAGTTCTTCAGCAAGTGGAAGGATATGGTTCAGGAGGGTTCTTGCAATGATTTTTCCTGTGGTGGAGAGCAAGGTGATCCCTCTATCATTTCCAGAGTTGGACTTTTCTCCTTTTTTGAAGATTGTCACAATCATAGCATCTCTGAGGTTATTTGGGATTTCCTCATCATTCCAAATCCTTAAATAAGGGCATGGAGCTGTGATGTGAGCTTATCTTCCTCTGCTTGAAGATTTTGACAGATTCTATTAGCTCCAAATGCCTTTGCATCCTTCATGGCTTTCCTCACCTCATGGAGTTGATATAGTTGATATAATTCTGCCAAGCACAAAAGACCTTGTGCTTGTGGTCCATCTACTCTTGGATCTCCCAGTCATTCTCATCAAATCAGTCTTGATGTTTCCTGGTAGAGAATCCAAGTGTCTCTTTTCAGGAGCTATTGATGATGGACTTCAAGGCACCCCATGTTCAACATCGTTGTTAATTGGAATTTGCCATTTTTTCATTGAGGAAGTTGTGGAAGAGGTCTTGCTTGATTGGGTCCTTGAGTCCTTGGACATTTATCTTCCTTTGCCATTACTTCTGCTGTAGCCGTCACTTGGGAGCCCGTTTGAGTGACATACCTAAGCAGATGAGCCAGTGATCAGTCCAGCAGTCATCAGCTGCTCAGGTGATGTGGACATCTTGTGATCCCAGGCACAAACAATGACATAATCAGGTGCCAGTGCTTAGATTGTAAGCACTGTGTTGCCATGATGTCTTATGTTTGTTTTTCTGGTGGAACAGGTGTTGGTGACGGTGAGTCCATGTTCTGCACATGTGGTCAAGAGGAGAATGTTGTTGAAGTTGACCATTCCTTCCTTGCCGATGGTTCCGTTCCAGAGGTTCAAGTCTCTACTGACTGGTGTTGAAATTGCTAAGAAGAATAAGTCTATCTTCCTTTGGAACATCGGAAAGGGCTTGGTCTAGGCTGGCATAGAATTCCTCCTTGATGGCAGCATCAAGAGTTGGGGCATACGTGCTGTTGACAGTGGTGTATCAGCTTTCCACCAGTTAAAGATGGAGAGTCATGAGTCAGTTTATGAGTTCATTCTTGACAGCAAAACCAACTCTATGAAGCCAGCATTCTCCTTACTTGTTTACTCTCCAGAAGAAGATATAGCCACCTCCATGTTCTTTGAGCTGCCTGTCTTCTGTTCACTGGATCTCACTCAGTGCCACAACGCTAATGTTGTCACCTCAGTTTTCAAGCCATGGTTGCAATGCACCACTCTGGGAATTCACTATTAAGATTATCCATGAGGGTTCTGATGTTCCAGGTCCCAAAATTGATTGTGTGTCTTTGCTGATTTTCTGCAGTAAAGGTGATCCCACTGGACACAGTTATCCAGTCAGGAAGAAGGTAGACAGGCCATGTTTAGGGCACCTTTTCTATCCCCTTCCCCATGTGGGGTGAGCAGAGATCCTGAAGAGGGCTGCTGAGTGAGAGTCACAGTTGCTGAATCACACAGCTGCCTTGTCCAAGTGCTAGATGATCCTTCTTGTAACTTCTGCTGTCCTGCCAGTTCATGACTAGGAGCTTCCAGACCTCACAATCCTTTTCCTGTCATCACTAGCTGGTCACCAAAGGGGTTGAAAAAATGTGCTGGAAAAGCTGATTTCATGGAAGATGCCTGTGTGTGATTTCTTTTACCATAGAGAAGCTGTTGCACATAGCTTCCACATGGTTCTTGGAAGAACGGGACCTTAATTCAGTTGCAAGGATGCCAAGACAATTGGAGATCTCATTCTGCTGCAGCCTTCATCCTCCTTCACAGCCATTGAAATTTTAACATCATCTTTACCTGCTCTGCTGTTGAGGATGGTAGACCTGTGGCTTATTTTGGTGACCACCTGTTCTCACTATGACATCACTGTCAAAGGATATATGTGGCTTTTCAGCAGAGCTGTACTGCTACCCAGCGTGTCCAGAGTGTTGGATAGAGGAGTATCCTTCAGGGAAGGTTAGAAAAGCGTAACAGCTCTCCATGCAGGCTGCTATAAAATGCCTCCACCCCAAACAGGTTGTGCTGTGACCCATTGGTCCCTAGACACTAGGGTGTGTGACCCACAGGGGCAACTGGGCTCTGTCGTTCCTTGGGTCCCCACCCTTTGCCAAGAGGTAGCAAAGATTTGTCTCTAGGCCTTTTGATTTGGTGGCAAAGATTTGGCTTTCCACTTGTGCATTTTTCCCCATTGCTTCATTATTTTTTAGATATATTTAAGGGTACAGAGGCTCTTAGGCAAGCCCTCTAGGCAGCAGCAAAAAAAATACTAATGGAAATGATAGACATTGTAATTCATTGAGTGGAAAATAATGCAGATGCTGTTGAATGCTAGTATGTTGTGTTGCAGTTAATATTTAGAGAGCCTATTTCTTTTATATTCCATTGCAATCTTCATCTTTACACTATTATGTTACATTTATTTGACTAGCTTTAACTTTTCATATACAATTGGCTCATATAAAATATATTATCAACCTGACTTCCACACCTTTCAAGAAGGAATGGATAAAATGAGGTCTAATCAAAGAACATCAGCCCCTCTTAGAGTATAAGTTTAGTATTTACAGCTCTTACTAAATTCCCCTTGAGCCTTTTAGGAGGCAGCAGAGCTAAGGTTCCCTTCCTTAGTAATGACCTTTCTGTAATTTAGACTTTCCTGAGAATTTCCAAGCATATTGCTTTCGCTTAACTGGATCCTCTTACTCCCCTGTGAAGTCAGATATTTATGTAAATATTGAATTTTCACTGCAGACTTTTGACCCAAGCTACTTTTTTTTTCTTCTTTTTTTCCCCTTTCCACAAGCTCCATTACTTAAAAAGTGCATTATAATACTGGAGTAAATGATTTTATATTACCTTAAGGAGAGAAGAAAGATACAGAAAATAGTACATTTTGCTATTCATGATGGCCTAATGTTCAAAAAGGGCAGTGATTTCAGTGTATCAGTTTTTGCATGTAACACCTTTGACATCTTGAAGAGGCCTCACTTTCAAAAGTGAGTAGCACAATAGGGCCAATTTAATGTTACATCGGAATCTTTCATTCTGGCCCTTACCCACTTCTCCATGCTTTGCTATGTAATAATCATGTTATTTAATATGTAGGGTTTTGTGTGTGATATTTGAATACTTGCAGGGTTTTCCCAATAGGTTTTGATTCATGCGAAAAACTACCATGTTTTCATATCCTATATTCATTTTTGTAAGTTTAATTTTCTTTATTTGTCATTGTTGATGGTTTAGCATGTGAAAAAAGGGCATAATGCACACAGTGATATCACTTCCTATTAAAAAAAAAAAGTCTTAAAATTATGACTTAATAGCAAATAAAGACATTGCTATAAGTGAATGTCAGTTAAGAACTCTGGAAAAAGTTCTGCCTTAAGGACCTTGTTACACATTGCATTTTGAGCTGCTCAAATGCTGATTGGTGTTAGTGGTAGCTTTTGTGTCTGGTTGAAGCAGTCGCATCTTAAGGCTAAAAACCTTCTCTGACTGTTCCCTACCTGCACAACCGTGACTTGCCACTAGAGGGCTGGCAAGCAGGACCCTGATTAGGAGCTACAGCTGTATGTAATTACCCGCCGCACTCTAAAATGAGATCTGTGTGCACTCTCTTTAACTTAACAAGTGTCAGTTGTTCAACCTGGAAGGCATTGGTTTTAGCTTCTGGCCAGGGAGCTACTTGCCTCTTGGTAAAAATTGGTGGTGCTTTCTTCATGTTAGCTGCTTTGCAGTAATTGCTCATGTTCATGGTCATTCCCCACAGTTGATAAAGGCTGAATCACAAAAGTTAATCCCTGTTTCTTATGGGCCCCCTTGGGCTTAAGGAGTGCTTACAGGTATAATGTTTATGAGAGTGATAATTGTCTTTAGGTATGGGAATAGACAGTCTGCACTCCTTTCCTTCTTAGTGCACTAACACAAGGCAATTCATACACTTGAAAAATCTGTTCTCCCTAATAATCTTTCAAGATGCTAAGCAGCTCCTTGAACTCCCCAGGAGTTTAAGGAGATAAACTGCTTGCAAAATAAGACCAATGAGAATTTTAAAATGATTTAATTCACTATTCACTATTTGAAGTTTACAAATCAGTCCTGGGTATATTAATGCCCAACATGTTTTGACATTTTCCGATTTTATTTATTTATTTATTTATTTTTACATTCTTTCATACTATTTTCCTTCTTTATTCATACCATATACTGTACTTCATTCCTGGAAAAAGTATGTTTGTACTGCATAATGTTACTATATCATTTGTCACAATATTAAGTGCCGTCGATCCTTATGTCTACGTTCTGCTAAATCTGCACTATGATTCCACATGCCTTGTCAACAATAAATATTTTGTTCCCTGCTAGGTTGCAATCCAGACAGTGCTGTTCTCCGGTGACTTGCACCAACATTTTAATGTATCTTGAGCCCTGATGTTTCTTATTAGACAAATCTTAAGTTGTTTTTTGAGGGCAATCCAAGATCGTTTACTATAGCACAGCACAGAAGTTGCTTGATTATTTCAGAATATTTGTTTCAATCAGGTGGAATCTTCAGACAAGTTTATGGACAGTAGCTGTTCTTGTGAAGTAACCTGTAATGAGGATAATGTGTTACCTGCAGCTGAGGAAGATGGACCGAAGGACATTCCTCCTATCGTCTGGAAATCATTGAAACATAATTCTCTTCAGTATAGTGAGTTTTATATATCTCTGTCTTTACAAAAGTGGGTCATACTTATTTCAGACACTCTTGCAGATTATAATGTTAAATAGTCTAAAGAGCCCTGTTAGGTGAATTTTGTAGCCTTTCTTCATCTTTGGTGATTGCATAGAGTATTTATAGTTATGTGTTTGAAATTAATTACAGAAATGTTGCTGCCCCTCAGAAGGATCATTTTTATAAGAGAACACACCACCTTTTCACAGCATTTTGTGTTCATGCCGTTAATATATTTAATATATTCAGTCTTTCAAAATAAAATGATTAATTTAATCTTCAGATAATCAGATTGGAAATGAGAGTGATTTTATTTTTTTAAATAAAAAAAATCACACAAACTCTCCTCCTCAATCCCTACTACATTTAGGACATTTATTTTATTTTACATTTTTTCTCCTAATTCAGTTTAAAAAACTCACTTGTGAAACATACTCTCGCCCATGTATTCTAACTATGTGAAAAAGTACCATACTTTTATTTTAATCAGAGTGAGTTCAGAGTTACATTCAGCATCTACACCATTTCCTAGGCTCAGATGTTATTTCAAGTCTGTCTTCTTCTGGTATATACTCCCATGTATGTACATGAGAGAACTATACAAGACATTCTCATTAGTGAATAAAGCCAAAAATGTTATGAATGCTCAGGTTTGCAGATCCCAACCCTTAAATTAGGAATTCTAAAACAAGACTATCTATATGACTTTGTTGGAACTACTTCACCATCTCCATTTAATAATGTACCAAGTAATCTACAGACAATTACTTCATCTTGCATCGGTGGGAGCAGAGTACAGTTTTTGTCACTTTCAAGAACGCTGCGAAAAAAAAATACAAGAAATAGTCTTTGAAACATGCTCAAGTCCTACTTAGGCACCTTAGTTTAAATTACTTTCCATAAAAGTTAGGTTCTTAAATACCCAGAGATCAAATTTTAAAAGGAATTTTGGTTACTATAATATTGGTAAGTGTCTAATACAATGGTTTGCAACCATTTTATACTTAAGACAACCCTCAGAAAATGCTTGGTCTTAGCTTTTGCACATTTCTTGAGTACAACAAAATAGTAGAGCAATTTTCCTCTTGTAAAGAACTCAGGCTACACCAGATCAGAATGTTTTTAACACTATGGATTTTTATTTGAAATCTCTGGGTTTCTTTTATGAATCATGTTTGCATACCTAACCATACTCACGTTGTGTGGCACCCTGTTGCACCTGTAAAGGGACCTCAGGGCACCTCAGGGTCCTATGGCTCTGAGAATCACTGGTCTATTAGAACTTTAAAAATAGGTAAACAGATTAGGCACATTGTGGGAATTCCAGAAGTGCCTGAGCAGTTGAGGCATTTAACATCCATTAGGATCAAGTAGGAATTTGGTACATAAATATTAGGGCTGCACGAAGCTTCAGGTGGTGATTTGATTTGGAGGAGATTCAGTCCGATTTGGTGGCTGAATCTCTGAATCGATTCAAAGCTCTCCGAATCTTTGGAAAAGATTCGGAGAGCTTTGATAATTTGGACAGTCCCTGGTGGCTGCAGCCCGACTCAGAGCTGGTAAGTAGTGGGGCGGGGGAGGGGGGCTGGAGGAGGTGGAAGGGGACCATGGGGGGACCCCTGCCAGGCCCCATCCCCTCCCTGCTCCCCCAGCCCTGCTGACCCTTGCCTGTCCCTCCCAGCCCTCCCCATGGCTGCCCCGCCCGCCCCAGCTCCCAGTGCTTTAAAAGAAAGCCCCCACTCACTGCATGCTGCCAGCTGGGGGAGTAATCCCTGCTGCCCTATGCTGCATGGAGGGCTCTGCACGAGCCCCCTGAGCCCCCCCAAATGGCTACCCCACCCACCCCAACTCCAGTGCTTTAAGGAAAAAAAACTAGAAAAACCCCAGGACTCACTACTCCTGCAGAGCCTCGGGGCTTCAGGGGGCTCGTGGAAGAGTCCCCAACGTGGCGTGGGTGCTGCTGGGGGCAGTGGGGATGGCCCCCCCTGGGGAGGAACAGTGAGTCTGGGGTTTTTCTGGGGTTTTTTTGTTTGTTTGTTTGTTTTCTTAATGGGCCAGAGCCACAGCGGGCAGGGCAGCCATGAGGGGGGCTGGGACAGCGGGGTGGGGGGGTTGGAGGGCTCTGCAGAGGCCTCCACACAGCGTGAGGCAGTGGGAGGCAACAGGGATGCCCCTCCCCCTGCCTGGAAGCACCTGGTGAGTCAGGGCTTTTATTTTAAAGAGCTGGGAGCTGGGGTGGGCAGGGCAGTCATTGCCAGGCTGAGAGAGTGGGCAGGGGATGGGCCTGGCTGATTCGGAGATTTGGCAGCAGCCAAATCTCCAAATTGGATTCAGCTGAATCAGTTTGGGACAGTGATTCGAATCACTGAATCGAACCACTGTTTCCTGAATCGGCCAAATCTGAAGGAAATACTAGCCATTTCGCACAGGTCTAATAAATATCTTTATTCTGTGTTACTTTTGATGTTTTAGAAAATGTAACCTGTAATGCCTAATGCTTTTCTTTCCCCCTCCATGTATGAAGCCATTTTTGTAGTGTTATAGATAGGGAGATTGCAGAAGGGATCAAAAAATGACTTTGAATACTTGACAAACGTTTTAAGAAAACACATCTGGCTGAGATGTGCAGTTTATAGGCTTTTATGTCCATGCATATACCTGTTATATCCAGGGATCCTCGTTTTCTCTGATTTAAAAAAAATCCCTAATTTTCAGATTTAAAAAAAGTAACCACAAATCCACATTTTTCCATGAGTAAAAGGAAACAGCACTAATATATATATATGTTGGTGGCATGTCATTTTAATCACAGAAAAATGTAAATTTGAGGTTACTTTTTTAAATTTGAAAATTGGAGATTTTTTTAAATCAGGGAAAACCAGGATCCCTGGTTATATCTTATCATCTAAATTATTTTTTAAACTGTTCAGGTAACCTGTAACTTTGCTATAGAAGTTTGTCTTATTGGGTGTGTCTGCCTGTGAAATTAATTCAACTGAATAAACTCTGACACGTACCGCTTTGGTATTTATTGCTCCCAGTGTTTACACGTGTGCCCACTACTGCAGCACACTGAGCTGAGGTGGAGCAGCTGTGGCTGGCACGGGACCCTCTGCCCCAGGGGTCAGCCTGCTCCTCTTGGCTCAGTGTGCTGCAGGCGGACTGGCTGAGGCATGAGGGAGCTCAGTATGAAGCTACTTGGCAGGCAGCACCCACACTAAAGCACCCATGTGCCCCAGCCAGTCCCGTCAGTGTCTACACATGCGTTGCGTTGCACTAAATAACACTGCCATAGAATGGTACTTGTGTTGGGCAGTTTTACCCTATGGCAATGTTTATTACTTTACTGCAGCCTAACAGGGCTCCAGGTGTAGACGCTGATGTTTTAATGCAGAGCTAATTAGGCAATGCTGCAGTAAACATCTTATGTAGGCAAGCCCACTGAGAATAGATACTTTACTTTAAAGTGTTTTCTTAGAAAAGCCATAACCTGATATTTGCTGTCATTTTAATCATATTGATATTCTTTCATTTCCATAGGTAAGACATTAGGATGTTCAGGAAAATCCCTAAGTGGTTACCAGTGGGTTTCAGGAATCTCTGCCTGCTTTCTTCCAGCAGAAGGCAAAAGTATTCAAGATGCAGCTCTGGAAGTGTTTTCTTCTCTCCAAGGTGTTTTATTCAATGGAACCATTACTTATCATTAAAAACTATTTCTTTTAATACAGTATGAAATAAAAAAATGATATATTTTTCTGTGTTCTTATAGTGTTAAATTTTGTGATTGTAAATTTTCCATCTTGGGCTTGCCTCAGGCTGAAATCATGATCTGACGACTGCTGACTTTAATATTGAATACATTGTAATGTCCATAGATTCTGAAGACCATAAAGAGCCAGGGTGGGAATCAAATCAGTATAACAGTATTATTTCCACAATATTTTAAAAGCTTTATGGAAAACAACTCTAACTTTTTATAGAATGGAATATATAAAAATATATATTTATATGCCCTCCCCCCCAACACACAGAATATATTTGTGTCTTTCTCTCTCTGCAAAGTATACATAGCATATATGTATGTTTTGTAGATACTGCATAGTTGCTAAAGTGCTTTTGTTAACACCATAGTTTTAAATTAAGTTTTCTAAAAAGCTGTTGCTGTTGCACATTTTAGCATCTACGATTAGGTCACTAGCAGTAAATCTCACTTATATACTTAATACAAAGAAGAAATTGCTGTCATGGGAATCACGGAATCCAGATTCCTTACTGTCACACTCTTACAAGATATTGACATATAAAACAAAATGGGACCATTTTGTTTTGCATCTTTCTTCATTTTAAACTTTTAAGTAAAGAATGTTTATGTAGGCTTCTTTTTCATTCATAAACCTGGAAATCATTCTTAGGACTACATGAGTAGGCTCATATTCTTGTTCAAGAATTCTTGTGATGTATTAGCTCATAAAATCTTTATGTTTGGCTTGTGCAGCTGAGTTCATGACTGAATACAAAATGATAGAGAAGCCTTAGCATTTTAGAAAGCAAAGAAGTCACGCTTCCTAGAAGGCCCTTAAGCTAGTTTTTAACAGCCTGGAAATCAGCAAGGAGGGTATAATCAAACTTGTAGTTAAAGGCACCACTATTTAGTGTAAATCTTTTGGGCATAATCTGTAAATTGAAGCAAAGGGGCTCTATAACATTTTACTTGGTTCTCATTATATTTGTATGGACATCTGCCAGTCTAAACATTTTGTGTTTTTGCTTTACCATCAATCAGAAGTAAAAAAAAAAAACCAAAAAAAAACCTGATTATGTCACTGGTCAGTTGAGTAGCCTATTGCTTTCAGCATGTTACTTGTATTAGCTGTATTGTTTTCCATTTCTGGCAAAATAGTAGCTTTTTGATCTTTGGTAGAAAATGTCAGTGCTCACATTTCCTGTGGGTTTTTCGCCTTTTCGTGTTGAGGGTGGGGAAAGTTGAATGAATTATGATCCTGTCATCTGAAGAAACCACAAGATGTTTCTTTTGCCAAATTTTTCTGAGCGCTAAACTGATCATCTCTAGGTATGTATGAGCCTTTTCCCGGACTCGTACTAGCAACCTACACAGGACTTCAGCCTGTTCTGTATCATGCTGTGACACTGGAGCATACACATGTCCTTTTAGCCTTGTTCTAGGAAGGTTAATTGATTTAATTCTCTCTAAAGAGGACAAGCTTTGCCAGAAGGATTTAGAAATGAAACTGTGTTAGTGGACTTCTAGAAATGTATACGAATCATACCTCATAATATCAAGAGCAAAAAGGGGAATTTGCTGCAGTATTTTTGTATTTATTCTGTGACTGTATTTATTTGAGCTTTTCTTACAGTGATGTTTTTGAAAATAATATTTGTTATTGTAATCTTTGTATTTTGTAACCTTAGTTGTTATACATTAACACATCTCTATAGGTTTCAATGCAGCTACACAGATTTACACTGAGAAACTAACCTAGAATTAAATATGCTCCCCAGTGTGTGTTTCTACATGAGACACTTAACTGAGCATTAGCATAGTTTACTGTGAAGTAAGCATGTGCATTTATACGTGTGCATGCTTACTATGCAGTAAACCTCCCTAATCCTGAGTAAATTTGCTACTTGCAAGTGCAAGTAGCAAATTTACTTGAGTTTAGTAACGGCGCAGTAGTGCGTGTATAGACACCTGACCGGGAGCAAAAACTGTTCTGGGTCAGCCGTCCACCAGGGGGCGAGAGATAGTCCTGTCACAGGAGCCCGGACAGGGACTGTGTCCTCTTTCCAGGCACCAGGGAGTTGCATGCCCCTCCTCCAAGATCGCAGAGTCGGGGGTTGGGAGATGCTTAGCTCCGAGCCTCTGCTCTGCCATCTCGATCACAGAGTGGGGGGCTTGGAGACCCTTATCTGCCAGCACCGGCTCTGCGACCATGGGACCAGTGCTGGGAGATAAGTGTCTCCAAGCACTGGCTCTGTGGTCATGGAGCCAGCCCTGGGAGCTCCCTGCTGGCAGGGCCAGGGGCAGGAGCAGGGGCAGGGGAGCCTGTTTCCCCCCCAGCTCTACACTCTGAGCTGGGCTGGGAACTAGCTCCCCAGCCTGTTCCCCCTGCAAGCTCTGGGCTCATGGAGCTGAGCAAAGAACAAGCTGCCCAGCTTCTGCCTGGCATGCAGGTTGGGAGCTAAGAACAGTGCTGGTCAGGGACAAGTCCCAGCTCCATGCTCTGATCGTGTGATTAAGGCATGGGGCTCAGAAAAAGCTGCAAGGGTGGGGTAGGTCCCAGCCCCCTGGCCCAATCCACCGGTGGCGCAGCTAGCAGTGACCTTGCTGCTAGCTTCGCCACTGGCAGATTGGGGCAGGGTACTGGGACCTGTTCCTCCCTTGCAGCTCTTTCCAAGACCCCTGCCCCTAATCAGGGAGCCAGGGCCTGGGGGACATTGTCCTCACCCCAGCAGCAGGCAGCACCCTGGGTCCAGGAGACAGCTGTCTCCTGACTGGTGCTCCCTGCCAGCCCCTGAGCTAGCACCCAGCAGGAGCTTGGAGCTCCCCCTGGTGGCAGCAGAGGCCCATTGCAGGGCTGCAGGAAACTGCTCCCTAATCATCACATGTATACGTACTTGCTCAAAAGTGCTTACACCAAAGTAAATTTAGGATGGATGAAATGCATGTGTAGATGTGCCCAGTATTTACTGCATTTGTGTTGTCTTGTATGTGTTTTTCAGAGTAAGGCTCTTACTCAGTTCATATGTCAGGCCATCATTTTTTTTTTTTTGTATTAAATAGTACTTTTGTATTAAATGGCATTTCTCACTGTTTTAATTTCATTTCAAAAATCTTACTCAGGATGAATCACAACTGACCAAAGCCTACAGTCCCTAAAGTGACAAGGAAAGGCCCAAACCTCAGTACGTCATAGAACTGAGTTGTGTATAGGTCTTCATTTTGAGGTAATGGATTGAAGACTTATAGGTCCAGCAAGAATATTGATAGTGGGGAGGTTAGTCTAACAGTCCATCAACTAAGCCTTACTGCTGGATACAGTTTGTTGTAAGAGCAGCTTCTGAGTTGAGAACATTCTATCTCCTCATTCCTCCAGTTCATTAATAAATTTCTATGTGAATAAGAGACAGGTTTTATTTTTATAACTTTTAAAGAAATTAGAAATTAACTTTAAAATATTTCAACTTCGTCAAATATCACAAGGCAAATATTTGTTGGTGGTGGTTTTTGCTTTTTCAATATAGACCAGTATTTCTCCCAAATAAATGTTTCACATTATGCACATTACATTTTAACTTCACAAAAAGCTTTTACTGCTTGGCTAAAATATTGTTTCACTTACTGAAGGTTCGAAAAATATATGATTTCCTTGCTGTCTAGTGGAGTAATAGCTGACATTGACTTACTAGTTTCTTTTGGGCAGCTTTCAAAGCACAGCTCTGCTTTAGCACAGATTTATAATTTTATGCTAATTACTTCTTTGATATTTTAGAGCTACGTCTTGACTAAGTAGGAGTTCTGTAGATTTTTTTTGTCAGTTGCTTTATCATTACATATGTCTTACTTTTTCCTTTATTCCCATGAATAGTTTCCCATTCCAGACTTAGTACTAAGCAATGGCATGAGTGGGGATAGCTCACATACTTACTGCTAATTCCAGCCCAATGGAACTATATTGACTTTAATGGAAACATGCCAGCTTAAATTTTTCTCTGAACCTATTTAAGACAACAGACATGTTTTACATGAAAACGATTTCCTTTTCACTTTAGCCACTTCAACAGTTTACTTCTTTACTCTCTTTCTGTTCCATTAGAGGACACACACGTTTATACAGTATATGGCTTTAACAAGCAATATAGTCAAAATGATCATGAAGGAAGGTCATGAAGTTTGCAGTTAGCTAGGGTCCAATTGGATCCTTGTGCTGTATACAGTCTATATTTAGTTTATGGAATTTAGTTTCTATTGGTTATGAAAATTAAATGTAGGCTATGAGGACCACAGAATACAGTGTCCCATAAATTTTGTTAAAGCAGGCTTGTTGTAAATTCCATTCTCTTAATTACCTTGATTTGATCTTTTCTCCCCTACCAGGTCAGCATAAATTTAGTCACAGATTGGATCCAAGCAGAGGGATGAATTAGGTGACCTCATGGGGGTCCTGTCCAGGCCTACATATCTCTGATTCTAAGTCCAGGAAAGATTGTTATTGTTATTTTTTGTTTTTAAACTGATAATAGTGGTGCAGTGGAACGTAGACAGCATGTATACACACAATGCATTCTCTTAAGGCAATTTTAAGTCACCATTATTTGGGTGTGAAGAACCTTCATTTATCTTCTATCTCTATTATCAGAAACTTAACATAAAAAAGCACTTCGTAAAAACTAGAGGAGAACCATCAACGATTATTAAGAGGAAAAGTAATATATTACTAAAGACTTCAATCATATTAAACATGTGTTAAGTTACTATCATTTACTTTTCTTGAACAAACATAAGATGCCTCTGCTATCTTTCCGTCCACATTTAAAATATCCTATCTTTAACAGCTATGTTATTTTTTTTCCTGCAGCTAATATGAATTCCATGGGATTTGAACTGAAAGATATTATTTTGGTCCATTTGTATATGAAGAGCATGAAAGATTTTGCTGTAATAAATTCAGCCTATGTGACAGAGTTTGATTTGTGTCCACCGGCAAGGTAGGATCAGACTAATGGTATATATTTATGATACACTGTAATATACTGTGTTACAGCTACTATATTTATATTTATGAAATTTTTGTACACATTTTTGTTTCTCTTTTGTACTCAGAAATAGGCTTGCACCCACCTTTTTTGGGAGATCAGCATGTTTCTTACTTTCTTCATGTAACATTACTTTTAAGGTAGTCATAAGCATGTATACTTCTTTAATAAAATAATGCATGTGACAGGAAAATCATTTTACTGTTCTAAATATATAGCTGACTTATTTTGCAATGGAGACCAACCAGATACCTTTTAATATTTGTGCCTGTCACAGCTCCAAGTGTGATGTCAAATCCAGATCTGATGAAGTAAACCAGTCCAACAATCTAGGCTTGCAGTATTAACCATATTTTCAGTCCTTTTTCTCTCATAGGTTCTGCTTTGAGTGGCTATATTGCATTTAAAGTGATATAGCAAATGCCTAGAATACTGGAAAATTTTTATTTAATTTTTAAAAGTTATGTATCAAAATCATAAATTCTGTTAGAATAGGAGTCGGCAATGTTTTGCAGCTGGAGATCACTTCTAAAGGAGCTGAGCTTCCAATGCAGCCCATGCTGCCTCCAGAGTTGGAGCTGAAGGCACACTCACTGGTCCCTCTCCCGCAATTCCTTTCTGCTGCCTGTTGCTTCTTTCTGCTGGTCAGCCACTATGCAAGCAAAACCCTCCACTGTTGAAACGCTGCTGAAGCTCCCCAGTTCTACAGGCTAGATCCAGCTTCCAGGCCATAGGTTGCTGATCCCTGAATTAGAAAATAAAGTTTAAAAAAGAGAGAGAGAAAAAAAATTGTCTTAATGTTCCTAATTTTTGTTTAAAGCAAACAGTTCCAGCTAGAAACATGAATATGCTTTCATTTCACAATGCTTAGCAAGTGAAATACTACAATGATAGCTGATTTAGTGAACAAAATGTTACCTATGCTCTTTGTGCCATGCTGTTACAATTTGAAAACTTCAAATCAGCTCAGCTAAAATTCAGTTTTTCTAAAAATGTAAGCAGAGTTCCAAATTTTAACAAATGCATTAATGAAGAGTTCACAGTACACATTGTAAGTTCATGTATGTTCAGTTCATGTAGGTGCTATAAAGAGTTATAGAGGATATTTCTTTATATGGAAAACAAATATTAATATCTTGATGTAACTTTTCTTGTTTGTAACATTAATATCTTGATGTAACAAAGCCATCAATGTCCAGATTTGATATGCAAGTTAATACTTTTTTTCAATGTTGTGTTTTATCCAGTCCCAGATTAAATTTGTTTTTCTCTTTCATACACAGTACTGAAAACTCTAAATCCCAGTGATCTACTGTGAGTTGAAGGTGTTTTAGTGCTTTGTAAGTCAACTTCTTTCAGGATCAGGCCTTAGGTGATTTAATTTTTATTGAGGTCTTTTAATCTTTCCTAAAAGGTTAGCTGTCGTTATTATTATTGTTATTATTATGATTGCACTTTGCTATATTCTGTTCAGGTTGTCAGTGGCTTTTGCAATTAAGTTCTCGGAAGTGAAAACAATATTGTAGGTTCAGTCACACTAGAGCTGTAGAGTTAGGAATAGTTTCTCCCTTGTTCTTTTATCTGATGCTTGTGTGTACACTCTACCAAATTATATTGATCTTTTTATTGGCTGCTATATTGCATTGCAGACTCTTGTCTAACTTTCTGGCCACTGTCACCACTATCTCTCTTTCATCATTGTTAGTTTTCAAGTTTTTCCCTCCCACTGAACATCTGTGTAAGGGATTATAATTCTCCAGATCAAGCACACTTGCATTTTCATTATACCGAATTTGGTATTCTCTGAATTTATTATTTTAATGATTACCGTCTTCCCTCCTTTCCATAAATTAAAATATTAATAAATAAAGTTAAAAGTCTCTACAGTTCATAAAATGATACTTATTTTTAGTGCTGCATAAAGTCTTTAAAAAAAAATGTAAGCTCTTTACTTTTTCCCCATTTTTTAAAAGTTAGGGTTGTATTATTTATTCAAGTTAACAAGATACATTTCCCACTACTTAGGAACAGCTTTGCTAGTAATTGGATCTGTGTGGGTCTCATTGCTTTGAAAGTTTCCCTCAGATAAATATCCATGCATCCTTATTAATGTCATGCCCCGTGATTTACAAAATCTTCGTACTTTATCCCAAAATTCAATCAGTTGAGAAGAGGTTGAGAAATAATGGAATTAAGTTGCAAGCTTGCATTTGCTACAGAGTGGAGAAGAATTATACAATATATAATAGGGATTATGCAACATAACAGGACTATAATAAAGATAAAATATAATCTGTTTTTCCATCTTTATTGCTTTATTACCAGTCTGAATACTACTGAGAGCTTGCATTGCCTCATGCCAGTCATGACTATTTGATATTTGTCCTTTTACTTTTCCTTATACCTGACATGTTTGAAGCAAGATTGAAAAATAATACCAGCTGAAAAACATGAATATAATTAAAAACAGGAAGGGAGGAAGGAAAAGGTTAAATATTATAAGTTTAAAAAGACAACATAAAACTCTATTTGAAAGCCAAAATACCGTATTTTTCCTTATTTTGACAAATCAGTAAAAACTCTTTAAAAGTGTTCTGTTCTGTTTATGAACTGATCAGATGAATTAATGAACACTCCATATATTAAAGAAGAAAGCAAGACTTTTAGAACAGTATTGTTTAATAATGGTCACCCAAGTAGTACTGCAAACACTGTACCAAAATAAATCTTTGAAAGACGTTGATGTGACAAGATGCTATTCCACTGACACTCTTTGGGTGCATCCACACGTGCGCTTTACTATGGAGCTGACTAATGTTTTTTTTAGTAATAAATTGTTTACATATATTTATATTCCAAATATTTATATAATGTAGGCAACCTAATAAACATGTGCAGTGGAGATATATATCAATAAAAATATGCATTTGCACTGCACATTTTATTTTTGATCGCATGCACAGCCTGTATTTTCATGTGCCTTATAGATTCATAGATGCTAGAGTTGGAAGGGACCTCAACAGATCATCGAGTCTGACCCCCTGCCTAGGCAGGAAAGAGTGCTGGGGTGAGATGACCCCGGCCAGATGCCTATCCAGCCTTCTCTTAAAGACCCCCAAGGTAGGGGAGAGCACCACCTCCCTTGGAAGCCCATTCCAGGTTTTGGCTACCCTTAACGTGAAGAAGTTTTTCCTGATATCTAACGTAAATCTGCTCTCTGTCAGTTTGTGACCATTGTTCCTTGTTACTCCAAGAGGTGCCCTGGTGGACAGAGAATCTCTAGTCCCTTGCTGCATCCCCCTATGAATTTGTAGGCAGCCACAAGATGACCTCTCAGCCTTCTCGTGCAGAAGCTGAAGAGGTCCAGGTTTCCCAGTCTCTCCTCATAGGGCTTGTCCTGTAAGCCCTTGACCATATGAGTGGCTCTCCTCTGGACCCTCTCAAGTCTATCAACATTCTTCTTGAAGTATGGCACCCAAAGCTGGATGCAGTACTCCAACTGCGGTCTGACCAATGTCACATAGAGGGGAAGTATCACTTCCTTGGGTCTATTTGTCATTCATCTGCTGATACATGATAAAATGCAGTGAGCTTTGCTGATGATTTCGTTACACTGACAACTCATGTTCATCTTGGAGTCCACTATGACTCTTAGATCCATTTCTGCTTCTGTGCTGCTGAGAGGGTCACTTCCCAGCCAGTAGGTGTGCTGGATATATTTGTGCCCTGGGTGCAGCACTCTATATTTGTCCTTGTTGTACTGCATCCTATTGTGTACTGCCCACTTTTCTAACCTGTCCAGGTCTGCCTGCAATCGTTCCCTACCCTCCTGAGTGTGCACTTCATCCCGCAATTTAGTATCATCTGCAAACTTGGACAGAGCACACTTCACACCCACATCCAAGTCACTGATGGAAATATTGAAGAGTACAAGGCCCAAGGACTGAACCCTGCATGACCCCACAGCCCACATCCAGGTCAATACCGACCCATCTGCTACCACTCTGGGTGCGACTGCTAAGCCAGTTTGCCACCCACCAGACTGTGTAAACATCTATATCACAGCCTCTTAATTTATTTATGAGGAGGGGTTGAGATACTGTGTCAAAGGCCTTGTTAAAATCCAAGAAAATGACATCCACCTCTTCTCCTGTGTCTAAGCATTTTGTGACCCTGTCATAAAACAAAATCAGATTGGTCAGGCATGATCTACCTGCTACAAATCCATGCTGGTTTCCCTGCTGCATTATTTTTCCCACTGGACTTTGACAGATCTGATCCTTCATAATATTTTCAAAGACCTTTCCAAGGATGGAGGAGAGACTGACTGGCCTATAATTAGTTGGATCCTCCTTCCTCCCCTTCTTGAAAATAGGGACCACATTGGCTCTTTTCCAGTCCTCTGGGTCCTGACCCGAGCACCTCAAGTGTTCAAACAGCCGTGCCAGTGGTTCTGCTATGACACCGACCAATTCCTTCAGTACTCTTGGATGAAACTCATCCAGGCCTGCTGACTTGAACGTATCCAGTTCATCCAAGTGGCTCTGCACCAAGTCAGCGTTGACAGTTGATGGGCTGGTGTCCCTCTGATGTCTGTCTAAGAGCCCATTAGGAGACTTATCTTGACCCCTGTTCAAGAACACTGAGGCAAAAAACTCATTGAATAGATCAGTTTTGTTCCCCCTGTCTGTCACTAATATTATTATGCTTCATATTGTATGCTCTTAACTTTAATTTTGGAGGCATGGAAGAATGGGGATGTCAAAGGGAATTAATTTCATAGTGTTCTGGAGAATGTACAGTTGTGTTTATTCTTAGTGGCTCTGTCTTTGTTGACCTGTTTGAAGCATATTCATCAAGGAATTATAACACAAATCTGAGCCAACACAGCCTGAGGGAACTAAAATTATATCCCATAAAGAACTGTGGCAACTTATTTCCAAGATGATGGAAGAGACGAGCAAAGGAAGTACTGTAACTGAGTCACAGTTCTTTGAGAGCTTCCTCAAGAAGATCATAATTAAACTCTGCCCCATATTCAGTGATGAGGTTTCTGGCTTATTTGAATCCTGAAAATAATAATACGAAAACTTCTCATTTAATTCAGGACCAGAAAACTATAGGACTTGTAATCCATAAGGGGTTAAAACTGATGAGGAATAAAAGCAAAAATTACTTACTGGAGTTATACTTATGTTAGGATAGTGCATACTATAACAGATCCACAGCCCTAACTTGTTATATTTATGGATATCAACCTGGGTACAATATGACAATTTAGATCTAAATTACCTATCAAGGCTTCCTGAGTCATGTTGTAAAAGAGCACTGAGTTCTCTGACAGACTCAGAAACATGTGGCTATGTAAAATTGACTGTAACACTATTTGATTCCCTGGTGTGGTTTCTAAGCTGAGAATGAATGGTGCCAGTAGAGGCAAAAGCATTGTGGTGAAGGGAGTAGGGAGAGACTTCCAAGAGACACCGAGGCCCCCTCTAAATGATACACTTAAGGTATGATTAACCAGGTAATCGCATCTTAAATTGTGACCTAACTGTACTTGCAACTAAATGATGGCTTGATAAAACAAACAATAAGCTACAAAGGTATTCCACAAAAATGTGCAATAACTTTGTAGCTTGTTCTAATCACACCATTAATTGAATGTGTGGCCCAGTGCTCCCCTGTGGCTGAGAGCCCCATCAACTAAGGGGCTCCCAGCCACAGGGGTGCACCACACACTGCCAGCCTCACAGCTGAGAAGGCTCTTAGTATTGTCAGTGTTGTCAGCTGCAGGGCTTACATCACAGAGAATGCTGCTCCCCCCTACAAGCAGGGGCAGATTAAGATTCATGCCCCCCGACCCATGCCTTGCCCTGCAGCTTTGGGCTCTGTCCCTAGCCCGTGCAGTGGGGGCAGCAGCCAAAGCAGGACACACTGCCCTGGGACAGGAGCCATGGCTGCCCCTGCCCACAGGTCCATGGTGGAGCTGGTGCCAGGGGTGTGGAGCCACTGCTCTCTGGGTGTGACCAATGTAGACCAAGGTGTAGGTGGGGGGCCCTTGCCCCACCACAGCTCAGTCCAGCTGCAGCAGCACACAGCAGCCGCAGCCCACAGCTTTGCACATGCCCAGCCTAGCCTCCGATTTTGTCCCTGCCAAGGCAGGGACCCATGGGCCCAAACCCAGCTGACCTGTGCATTAATCCACGTATGCCTGCAAGCATTCCCAGCTGTGGGGCTCACAGTGGGGGCAGTAAGAAGAATGCTGCCCTTACTGTGAACCTTGTGAGGTGTAGGGCTTGCAGTGGTAGCAGTGATCCCCCACACTGCTGCACCTGGGAGCCAGAAATCTCACAAGACTTGCAGCAAGGGCAGTGTTCTTTTCACCGCCACCATAGTGAGCCCAGCAAAGATGTTGTCCGCAGGGCTTGCAGCGGGGGAACGCTGCCTTTGCTGCAGTCCTCCCTCTGTGAGCTGCACAGATGATGATTCTCACAATGGGGTCAGTGTTCCTGGAGCTGCCCCCTGCTACACTCCCTACAGCCCATGTCAGCTGTTGGGTCTGCAGTAAAGGCAGTACGGGGAACAAACTGGGGCTCCCGGCACCAGCGGTAGAGCGTGATGGGATCCCATTGTGGCTGCATATGTAAAGTGGCCCTGACTGTCAATCAGGTATTAAATCACTACAGGGTGGAATTCAGGATTTTTGTGGCTTTAGACCAAAGTTCTGTTCCTACCTGTAGAGCTCTACAGCAGAACAAGAGCAGTTCTGAACACTTTGATATTTTAAATACTCTAAGTGACACCTTTCCTGCTTCCTTTCTCTGCTTTAGCCTCTTCTGCTTCTCATGTTACTGTATGTCTCTTGCTTCCACGTTTGCATAGCTGGCTGCTTAATCCCTCATCCCTTCTTAAAGAAGTCATAAAATAACAGATATAAAAGTTGCGGAAAAAACTGTATGATTACTTATATGATACAAACAGATTTATGTTGAATTTTGGCCAAAAATAAACATTATTTGGCAGTTTGCATGGCTGCCAAATTGCATTAGGTACAGAAACGCAGCTATGGAAGGTTTTGCTAGTAATATGCTAGGAGCACAAACCCAAGAGTGTGGATCCATAGTAAATTTGCAAAATTGTTTTGAAAAATTACCAGCCCAAGCAGATAATCTATTTATCCATCCTTATGATGACCATCATAGAGAGAAAGTTTCCACTTGCCTGTGGCAGGTGAGATTCTACTTTTGGCAGGTAGACTCTTGTAATATTATACTACTTGGCAAGTAGAATCTTGCAATATTATACTACAAGTTTCTTAATAATCATAAATCATTGTTGTTGATTTTGTGCTATAAGAGAAGCAAAGAGAAGTCTGTAACATAGTAACAATAGACAAAAACATTGATGGTCAATTCTTAAGTTTGGTAAATAACCTTTCATATTGGAAAAGCTAATTCCCTTTCATGGCTTATTTTTCAGAGTGTGTGTAGAGGTCCCATTGCCCGATGGAATACTGTTTTGGATTGACTGCCTTGCACATAGCTGTGACTTTACGACTGATGACGTATCCTGTTATGAAAAGCAGGTCATGCATGTACAGAGCATTTCTCACTGGGCACCTGCTAACATAGGACCTTACAGTCAGTCAGTCAAGGTAAGCAATCTTGATTCTTTCATGTGAATTCTTTACTGCTTTACTGAAATGACTACAGTTATAAAATTTGGTTTTCCTCTTTTGGGCAAATTCATATCAATGCGAAAAAGAACAAAAACTAAGGTCAGGCCCTTTTGCCTTTATGACATAATATAAAACCGGGCTGTGCAACTTATAAGTGGCCAGGGGCTGAACCTGCCATGGGCCACACCAGAGTGAGCCACAGGCATCTGGAGCTATAGGACAAAGAACATACCGCCTTCTCATGCCCCCTATGTCACTGCTGTACTGCAGGGATCTAGGTACACCTTCAGCTTCTCATACAACACCACACTGCCCCACCCCCTGGTTTGGGTGCTGGCAGCTAAAGCCATAGGAGGGAGGGGAAGCCCAGAGACTCTGGTGCTTTTACAGCCAGAGCAATTTGGAGAGCAGCAGGCAGGCAGGAGCCCAGGGGCTGCAACTAAACCCCTTGCAGGCCATGTGTAGCTTACAATTGGATTACTCTGATTTAAGAAAATAGAAAAATGAGTATATACATTTTCAGTTTTAAAATTTCTGCATGCAACAGTGTTCAACTAAACTGAAAATACAGCAACTCTTTCATTCTGTGATTGCCAGGCAGGATAAGGGACAACTATTTCTTGTTGAGATTTTAAGAAAAGCCTCCTGAGCTTCTGTGCTATAATTCTAACAAGAAGTACTTACAATGCTGGTATATTTCTGTATACTTTCTAGTATGTAACTATGCACTTACAGCATCTCCAGGTATTTGGAATTTCTTAATGTTGAAAGAGAACAAGTCCAGAATTTTTCTTAGGAAAGTCAGTCCCTAAACACATGAACATTGAATTCCCTTGTGAAGCTCTAAAATCTTATTTACAACATAAAAACAAAGCAAGATTTATGAAATACTTAATATTTTTAAAATTTACATTTAAAACAAAGTGGATGAAATATGATATAATGTAGTGGTGTGTAAACTTTTGGCCATGCTGGCCAGATGAATGACGTGGGGCCAGTCCCTCGGATGGATTAAGCACTGCCTCTTCCCTGCCCTACTCACTGGGATTGGGCCCCAACACTGCCTCATGGGCTGGCTGACAAGGTGCTGTAATCCAGATCTGGCCCACAGGCTGTGGGTTGAGTACCCCAAATAATGGATTGAGAGAAAAATAGGAAAGCATGGCACTCCTTACAACAAGATCAAGCCCATATCAACCATCACAGATGTTTGTCTAACTTACTCTTAAAAGCTTTTGATGGTGATGCCACAGCCTTGCTCAGTAATCTGTTCCAATACTTAGCTGCCCTGAGAATTTAAAACATGGGTTTTCAATCTTTTTTAAGATTGGGGGAGGGCTTGCACGTGGTGGCAGGGTGGGCCACCACGTGTGAGCTCCCAATATGTCCAGGTGGCCCCTGTGCAGCCCACAGAGGGGAGCCACTACCCTGCCTCCCTGGCCCTTCTCCTGGGAGGTGGCAGCATGGAGCGGTGGGTGGCAGCGCTCCATCCCCACCCACCTGCATGTACCCCCTAGCCCCTTTCCAAGTACCCCCAGGGGTACATGTACCCCTGGTTGACAACCCCTGGTTTAAAAGATCCTTTCAAATATCCTACGTATAGGGCACCTATACATGTGATGGACCTCTGCTGAGATGTATGCTAATTAGTCCCCCATTGGAGCAGACTTGATTGATCAATTGTGCTGGAGTGTGGTAATTAGCACGCTCCAGCAACCTTCATATCATTGTATTCAGTGTGCCCACATTTCAAAATTGTTGAGGGGGGAGTGCTTTAACTAAAGCTTGCCATTTTGAAGCGCAAGATGCTGAATACACATGACTCTACGAGCACTCTAATTAGAGCAGCTTTAAGAGCTGCTCTAATTAAAGCACACCTCTTTCCCACCTCAGAGCCCATAGTTCCAATATTTTATTACCAACCTTTATGCATTTGAAGAGTGTTATCAGATCCCCCTTCAGTCTTCTCTTCTTCAGACTAAACAATACCAGTTCTCCCAACCTTTCCTTATAAGTAATGTTTCCTAGACCTCTCATTTTTATTGACGATTTGTATTTCTTTCTTGCCCCTACCATTTCCTGTGCAAAAGAAAACTAAATCTAGGGCATTCTTTATTGGTTGCAGAAATTCTCTCAAACGGCATTTTATTTTGTGTGGCTGAATTCTTCTGTGTTGTCTTTCAACCTACTATTAATATTGCTGCAACTAAGTTTTTTGTTGTTGTCTTGATTTGATTTGTCTTAGTGCTGGTTACATGCAGAATGTGTGGCAGTGGCTTGGGGTAGATTTTTGGAGGAGAAACTTTTGTAAAATTATTTTAATTTGCTAAAGGAAGTGGTGGTTCATAAAGGTCAAATTATACTTTTTATTTAAGGAAAGGGAAGTTATTTATTAAATGTCACTTGATATATATATATATAGGAAGTTGACCTGTTGAACATTTGCTTCATGCAATTTTAATTCTGTCAAGTCATTCAGGGGCTGGCCTTGTTTGGGTGGGTAGGGAGAAAATGCAAAGAACCTTGCATTCATTCCATGTGCTTGTACTGAGACAATTGCTTTCTGACTGTAGCACAGGTGCTGAAATAAGTTAATGTCCTAGATGCAGCACAGTCTGGATTCTGGCCAGCACGTGGGTTGAAAACTACGGTAGTGACACTGATGGATGATGTCCTGCTGTCAGTGGATGGTAGGCAGACAATCAATGTCATATTCCTGGATCTGTTGGCAGCATTTGACAGACAGCCATTTGATAGTTTCATAGCTAGTAGGGTCAGAAGGGACCTGAGCAGATCATCAAGTCCGACCCCGTGCCGTGGCAGGAAAGAGTACTGGGGTCAAACGACCCCAGCAAGGTGATTGTCAAGCCTTGTCTTACAGACCCCCAGGGTAGGAGCCAGCACCACTTCGCTTGGAAGTTGGTTCCAGATCCTAGCCGCCCTGAAAGTGAAGTAGCGCCTCCTGATGTCTAATCTGAATTTACCCACTGCCAGCTTGTGACCATTATTTTTTTAGTCACTCCTGGTAGCGCTTGGGGGAACAGGGACTCCCCCAATGCCTGCTGGTCCCCTCTGACTAGTTTGTAACAGGCCATTAGATCCCCCCTCAGCCTTCATTTGTGGAGGCTGAACAGGTTCAGATCCCTTAGCCTTTCCTCGTAGGGCCTGCCCTGCTACCCGCTAATCGTGCGAGTGGCTCTCCTCTGGACCCTCTCCATGTTGTCCACATCCCTCTTGAAGTGCGGTGCCCAGAACTGGACGCAGTACTCCAGCTGTGGCCTGACCAGTGCCACACAGAGGGGGAGTATCACCTCCTTGGACCTGCTTGAGATGCATCTGTGGATGCATGACAAGGTATGGTTGGCCTTCCTGACTGCATCCTCACACTGCCGGCCCATGTTCATCTTGGCATCAATGATGACTCCAAGATCCTTTTCTGTCTCTGCACTGATGAGAAGGGAGTTCCCCAGCCTGTAGGTATGGTGCTGGTTCTTTCTCCCCAGGTGCATCACCTTGCACTTGTCAGTGTTGAATCCCATCCTGTTCTCATCCGCCCACCCCTGTAACCTGTCTA